ACATTCGACATCCCAGTGTCAGTACAAGAGCTCTCATTGCCCCTTCTGACGTGGCAAATCCGAGGAACTTTCCCGTTGAACCTTATAAAGTTCTACCTGTTTGAATCTGCCAAAAATCCTTATGGAGAACACATCACTTGGGTGAATTCGTGTTGGAGTTTGCGATATTTTCCCTCCTTTTGTCCTTCTTTTCTAGCATGTTCATTTAAAAGAAACATACATGCATATCTTTTCTCCCTTAGTCCCCAAATGCCTGCCATTTTCAAAGCAAATGTGTATATACTGCTTGATTTAACTGGACTTCCAAGGGCAAACCCTGTAATGGGCTCTCAACCTGGGATTGTACAGGCTTTGTTTCACTTACTAATCCCATTTATGTCTTACATGTCTTATGTACAATATTTAGTTCTTTATGCAGCTTTTGTGTTGTGCAGATATTTGGGATGGAAATTTTATGCATAACGCTTTCATAGGTAGGTCTGTAACTGCAACTTAATTACCTTCATTGGCTTTTTTCAAGAATGCTCAGGAAATTGTGTAAGCATTCCTCTGCTAGCAAGGAACTGGGATTGCTGAACTGGAATTAGAATGTGATGGTGATAACAGATGGTGGTGCCTATGGCTGTTTTTGCCCCTAAGTTTGGTTCTGCATGAGATTAGAGATCTTCACCATTTGTAGGCAAAACTTTTATTTCTGTTCATACATAGGACAAAACAGGGTAGCAGCAGGATTTAAGGGGGCCTGCCAGATTGTTTTTGACCACAAGTATTGGTCTCTGCCCACTGGAAATATTCTGGCTTTGTGCATCTTCCCTTCTCTTCCTCGTGGTGTATATCTCATAGACATCTTTTTTTTTTTAAGATTTATTTTTATTTATTTATTTGTTAGAAAGAGAGGATGGGAAGGGGAAAGAGAAACATCAATATGTGGTTGCTTCTCTCGCGCCCCCGCTGGGGACCTGGCCCGCAGTTCAGGCATGTGCCCTGACCTGGAATTGAACCTGTGACCCTTTGGGTCGCAGGTTGGCACTCAATGCACTGAGTCACACCAGCCAAGGCACATAGACATCTTTAGAGCAGAGGCTTCCTCAGACTTTATAGACTGACTTGCTCAACTTAGAGTAACTTATAATGATCTCAAAGGATGATAAAAAGTCATTTGATAAAGTTCAACAGTCATTTCTGATTTTTAAAAATACTTGGTAAGATAGGAGTAGATGTATACTTTCTTAATCTTATTAGAAAGAAATTCCAATCAAAATGCATCATCATTCTAACATTTAAAATGTTCCTAGTAAAGAGTCAGACATCATATCATAGTTGCTTGACATTTGACATTCTGGAAATACCAACTAATGTTTAAAAGTGAAAAATATGATGAACAAATACTGAAAAGAAGGAGTACTTATATTTTTAAAATATAATAATATAATGAATATGCAAGGAAATCACTAGATACAAATTTCACTTGATGTTTTCTGGTTTTTAAACAGTACTCTATAGAGAATCCATTTATAATAGCAGTAAAAATATTAAATAATTAGTAATTTATAATAGCAAATAGAGTACAAAATGGCTTTGAATAAACTTAAGGACTATGTAGGACCTGTAAGAAGACAGCTGTACCTGAATGTGATTTTAATCAGTACTAACAATACTAATATAACTAACTGATGTTAAAGTTTACCAAGTGAAATGAATATGTACAAATAGCTAGAAAAATTCCACAGGGAAATATATTGATGTAGAGTTGGTAGGGATACTAGCCCTTATTCTCGAATACTAAAACATACTATAAAAGGCAGAGTTGTTAAAATAGCTTAGTACTGACATTGAACTAGATCAGTAGAACCAAATGGAGATTTCAACAAAAAACCCAAACATACAAGTACATTTAGTATATGTTAACATTTTTTTCTCAAATCAGTAGGGAAAAAGATTTATTCTTCAACATGTGGAAATAACTGGCTTGTAATTTGGATAAAGATAAATCCAATTTCTGCCTTGCATTTTTTCAAGAATAAAATCACAAATGGACCAAATATGCAAATATTAAAAATGAAATTAGAAAAGTGATGAAAACATCAGTGAATTTTAGAAATTAATTTGGTCAAGGAAAGATCTTTATAAATGTGACTTACACAAGTCTCAAAAGCTTAAAAAAAGAGATTGATGTATTTGACTTCATAAAAATTAAAATACCAAAGCTCATTAAACAACAAATGCTAAAAAATATGCTAGGAGGTAAGGGAGTGGGCCTTTGCCACATATTGGATAAAGGGCAAGTGTTCTTAAAAACCTAGAGTTCTCTTACAAATTAATGAAAAGATAAAGACAAATGTGTAAAATATACAACCAATCCATGAATATATAAAAATAGCCAGGAAACACGCAAGGATGTTCAGTCTTCCTGATTAATGAAGAAATTCAAATTAAAGCAAGATACTATTTTGGACCTATCGTTTGTGGAAGTGTGAATTGGTGTATCCTTTTTGGAAGCAAGTTTTGCAATATGTGTCAAAAGTAAAAATGCTTATGTCTTTGAATTTAGCAGTTACACTTAGAAGAATTTATCATAGGGGTTACTCAAAGATAAATGTGAAAGAATGTTCTGTGTTTCATTGTATGTTATGGTAAAAATTTGAAAAAGACAGACAAATGTTTCATCAGGTGACAGGTGTATTAAATTATGGTACATCTGTACAGTAGAATACCATAAGAGTATTTAAATAAAATTAGATATTTATGTTTTGGTGAAGAATGTGCCAGATGTGATAGGTAAGATAGCTTATATCACAATGTCTATATTTTATTTCAGTGAAACATTTTGAAGTTAGTAATGCGAGGTTTATATCTACATATAGTAAATATATTTGAAAGACTTGAAACAGCAGTCTGTGGAGAGGAATTGGGAGATTAAAAGGAATAAGGTAGTAGGATTTTTGCTTTTTACTTTTCATCCTTCTGTGCTACTTGAGGTCTTCCTTTTATTAAAAACAGAAATTTGTATTAGCTTTATGCTTTAAAGTTTTTAAAAACCATAACAGTATCAGAGTTTAGAATTGTACCAAACCATAGTTACATTGCATGGGACTTTATTCCTCCTAATAGAAAATACAAAACAAGGAGCCTTTCATTTTGTGGTCAAATAACATTTATTTAGTATTTGAGAATAACATTGATTCTGTGTCCTAAGTGTTAATAATGGCTTGTGGTCTGCACTCCTGTCCAGTTCAGAGGTTTTATAAAAGATCTAACAGTACTTCCTCTTGCAGAGATTTCTCTACCCTTTCTTCTACTACCATACTTTCTGGCTTGATTTAACCAGGAGGCTTTATCCCAGTGTAAATGACAATGAAAGTTTTCCTGCTAGATCTTACCATAATTTGGATGGGCGACAGGGCAGAGTGTCTCACTACAGTTATGCATTGGAAATACCATTGGTCAGTTGTGAGAGGTGCCTTTCCCTGCACCCGAATCAGTGTGAGGCCCATATCACAGTTGCCTTCTGCAGTATCTTTAAAGCCCTCCTGTCTGCAGTCCCTCAAGATTATAGTTGTCCAGTCTTATATTTAGCAGGTGTGGGTTTCTTTAGCTAAGAACTTCTTAAACAAGGCTATGCCATATCACATGTCTTTTACCAGCTCTAACAACTGAGCTTCCTTCTCTGTTCTGTTACACACATATGAACCACTTTTCAAATCACAGTCTTGCCAAGAAAAGGCTCTCCACATTGAATATGGTAAAATGACAAGTGGTTGTCCTCTTTCTAAAAGTACAGGAAAATTCAGATATATAAATCATAGCCACTTCTTTCCACAACCATACAGAGAGGTAAGTCTTCAGCATTGAGTTAGAGGAGACCCTTAGTGTGGCTCTTTATAAGTGATCCTTGATCAGAAAATAGCATCTCCTAGAAGCAAGTTATACTTGAACACTGTTTAAGTGATTTTGTTTAAACCCTTTTTGGAGTCCCTATAGAGGAAAATCATTACCTGGGATGCATTTGTCTGCAATACACTGTATCATTTAGGTGTTCTCATCTTTTTCAACATTTCCCCAGAAGTTATCTTCTCCCAGACTAACTCCTAACATTGCCATTAACAGAGCCTTTGCACTTTCGAGTCTTCGTAGGTTAAAATTTCTAAGAGTTAATTGTGTTCTTTTTTGACAAAGGTCAAGAATAGAAAGAAAGCTCTGTTTATGTAATTTAAATCCTAAGGCCAACTTTATTCTTAGATTTCTCTTAAACCTCACCTCTACTTCAATGTCTAGTTTCTATAGCAACTGAGATACAGTTAGGTGCTAGGTCAGAGAAGAGCAATCTTTTGATGTTAAGAAATTTGGTTTTTAACCTAAAGGGGGAGGATATAGTAGACAACACTCTCATAGCTTTTTCTGTGCTGATGCCTACATTCTGTTCCCAGGGATTCTGTATTTTCTTTTTTCCTGAAGAGACCAGACATTTATCTTCTTACATAGCCCCAGAAAAGACTGTTACATCTCTTCAAACAACTTAATCACAGTCAATTTAATTGATTAATCAAATCAAGACAGCTAAGAGATAGAGCTCTTCTTCTGTGGAAAAACTGTAGTGACCAGGGGAATTATTATTTTTTTTTTTCCAAATGCAGTGTCTCTGAGAATTATGTGAATTGTCTGTTTTCTTCACCTTGGATTGCGTAACAACCTTTTTTTTATTGGTCTCTTGTTCAAATGTAATTGGAAAAACCTTGAGTGGTATTTTTTTTTACATTCTCAGTCCATCTGGCTCAGGGTGTAGACACTAGACCTGTTGTATCACTTAGGTGGGGAGATGCTGGCGGTGGGAGAAGTACTGCCAGATGCTGAGGAGGATGACATCAAGGAGCTGGCATGGGTGCTTACTGTGTTATATCCTCAATGACGTGTATAGGACTTTAAATAGAAACTAATGCCCATTTTTTTAAAAAGTTAAGTTGTTAAAGCTGGAGGAAAATGAGTGCTTTTTTATATTATAGGAACTACCTTCAGTTGAAGAACTCACTATTATTCTGCCTGAAGATATTGAATTGAAGCCTCTTGGGATGGTTTCAAGTATTATTGAACAATTAGGTATGTAAATAATTTTATTAATACCATATATATATGCACACACACACATGCACACACATCCCGCCCCCTGAGCAGTGCACTAATAATCAAATCAGAGACTTATGACTAGTAAATTTGAACAGATAAATTCAGTTTTAGTTATATAAGTAATCCATAAATACATTTTCTTTATAAAATTTTAAGATTGCTTTTACTGACATATTTCTTCAGAATTTTCTTTGATGTGCAATAGCTCATTTTCTGTTGCTATTAAATTACTAAAAATTTAGTGGCTTAAAACAATACAAACTTATTATTTAAGAGTTCTTTGGGCCAGAAGTCTGATATGGGTCTTACTGAGTTAAAATCAAGGGGTCCATCAAAACTAAACTTTTTTGTGGTGGTCCGAAAGGGGCATCTACTTCTTTTCCTCTTTCGGCTTCTAGAGGTTGCCTGCACCCCTGGGCTCATGACCTGCTTCCTGCATCTTCAAAGCCAGCAAGCTTCTCTCTGAATGCAGCCTGGAAAGGTTCTCCGCTTTTAAGGGCTCCCTACATTGGGCCTTCATGTGTAATGTAGGATCATCATTCCGTCTCAGGGTTCTTAATCATATCGTCAAGAAAAATAAATTTAATGTAAAGTGACATTTTCCCAGGTTTAGGGATCAGGGTGTTGATATCTTTTTTTGTGGGGAGGGCATGATTCTGCTTACTGACTTTGATTTATTTTATAAACATGTGAATTAGAAAGGTCTGTGATGCAATACTGATATTAATGGCATGAAATACGAAGCTGTTGGGTATAAGACAACTAGACATTATGGATTTCCTTTCAGCACCAGGAGATGGCCATCAAAAGGTCTTGAAATTAATTCTCATAATGAGTTACACCTGAGAATACAGCTCAGCATTGACAGTCAGAGGGTTTTTGAACTGGGAAAAAGACCGAGATCATCCACCAGCCGGCCCCCTTAGTTTACAGGACTTAAGGAACACAGAAAAATTTGTCTCTTGCTTTTATCATCAGTTGTATGAGTCACTGGTAGAAGTGAACTTTATCCTTTTTTTAAATTTAATTTTTATAGTGTTTCTCATTACCATTTCGTCCCTTTCTACCCCCTCCCCCAGCAGTCACCACACTGGAGTCCATGTCCGTGAGCCCTTTTACCTCTTTGCTCAATCCCTCCACCCCCTAACCGCCCCTCCCCCACTAGCTGTCAGCCTGCTCTTCATCTGTGAGTTTGTCCCCATTTTACTTGTTAGCTTAGTTTGTTCATTAGATTCCACATACGAGTGAAATCACATGGCATTTGTCTTTCTCTGACTGGCTTATTTCACATAGCATGATGTTCTCCTGGTCCATCCATGCTGTCACAAAGGGTAAAATTTTCTTCTTTTTTACAATCTTTTGACCATCTTCTAACAGTGTACTTATCAGTATTTTTAAAAATTAATATTAATTTAGATAAATTTGCACTTTTGTAATTTATTAATTTTTATAAAAATTATAGTTAATAAACTATATGAATCTCAAATTATATTAGTTTTTGAATCATCTTATTTAATAATATGCATAAATAAGTCAAAAAGGTAATTACACAATATGAGTTGAGCATTTATGAAACTTGATGTATGTAGAAAAAATATAGGTTATAATGTTTATCCTCAGTGAATAAAATGTAAATATATGATACACATGAAATGATGCTTTTTAAAGATACTCCTTTTACTAACACATCCTGATTGACTAATAAAATTCTCAAGCTTGTGGGAATAAAGATTGAATGAATCGAAATCCGCACATGTTACTCTGTTTTGAAGGCCTAAAATATCTAACATTATTTGGACCAAATTACAAACAAGAAAATAAAGTAAGCATTAGCATGCTAGGCAAAAATATCTGTGAATTCAAATAAGAGCCCAGAGATGAAAAGAGAGGATTTGGTTTTGTTCTCTGCATTTCTCATAGAAGTTATTTTGGATCGCCTCCCTCCCTCCCCCTGCCCACCCTCCCTCCCTCTCTCCCTCTCTCCCATCCTTTTAATCTGGAAAACACAAGAGGCAATTTAGATATAATCATATCTAAGGAGAAACAGAGAGATTTCATGAAATTAAGGATGTATGTATTAGTACATACTTTCATAGTATTGATAGCCTCTTTGTCAATGTATGGTACAAACTCTTTGTACCCAATACCTGAAACTATGTGCCACCTAAAATTAAAGTAATAAGAGAATTGGTCTTTTAGGCTGTGGAAACACAGTTACTAATTGTGTTATAGGGAGAGCATTGGAACTGAGGGACCCAGTTTCTAGTGATAGCTGGGTATGGAATTGGCCACTGATACTGTTAATTTCTTCAGTCCTGTTTTCTTATCTTTCTTTAAAATGAAGCTATTGGATTAGATGATTTTCAATTTTCATGTAATTTGACTCTTTAGGAAGCGGATTAGACAGCAGAGAGAATTGAGAATGAATTCTGTTAGTTCTCACTGTCATCATCATCTTTATTCCAGAAGCAGATCTAACTCAGAAAATGTTGACTCATGATCTGGAATTTATATGCATATTCAGAATTTAGAAGCCCTAGCTGCTGCCTACACCCTGCCCCTCCCCCTCCCCGCTGCCATCTCTCCCCTGCCTGGAGGCTCCCTTCCCCGCCCCTTTTGTTTCTCAGGGGGATGTGAGTTTGCAGATGGTAAGGGCCCTGCTCCCTCCCCTCTAGTTCACACAGCACTTGCCCCCTTCCTGCCCTGGGGGCCCAGGTTGTAGATATTTCACAAAGGTTTTCCCTGTTTTTCTGTGTACTTTTTTTAAGAGCCTGGGATCTCAGGTGGGAGCTCCGCACAATAAGTCTGTTGGTATTTGGGGAAAAAAATTGGTTGGGACATAGTTGAAATTTTTTTAATGAATTTTAAGAATCTCAACTCATATATTTTTTCGAAGTGGAGGTGGCATTGTCTTGTAATGTGACAAAGGATTCTTGCTCGTTGCTCTAATTTTCAAGAACCTATCATTTGTTGCCCCCAGCTATAGTAGATTGGTTGTTTAACATCTGTGGCACTTACAGGAATTGGAATATGCCAGACTAGTGGAATAATGCTTTTGCTTTTTTGAGAAAAAAAGTGATAAAAATTATGGTAAGCTCTATCATTTTTCATCTGTTCAGGAAGATGGCTTTTGTGAAGTTAACTTTTTCATATAGCAGTAAGTAATCATAGAAAAGAATTTCTAGAGTGAGAAAGACTAATTTCTCCTAAAACTGGAGTTTTGTGACTAAATTACACTTTTTTGGCTAAAAATTGCTTGAGCAAACGTGCACAGCTTGAATTTGTAGACTTTTTAATGGATGAGTCAAATTTTCTGAGATTTTATACTTAAATTTTCTTTCTTAGAATTGCAGCGTTTTGTATTAAATATGTAGAAACTATTTCCCTGTGCTATATGGTATTAAATAAACTTTGTTCATCTAAGAAGAATGGTTACTGAGGCATGTTATTTCACCTTAAATTTCATATTAAATTATGTTGGAATTAAAGCCTAAATTCTCATTTAAATTCTACATTATCTTCTGATTAAGTCTTGAAATAATCTGTTTTGTTTTATTTTTCAGTAATAATCGAATCTATGACTAAACTACCACCAGTTAATGAGGAGACTGTAATTTTTAAAAGTGATCGGCAGGCAGCAGGAAAGGTATGTAAAAAAAATTCAAACCCTACAAATTATTCTGTTTCTTTGTTAATTGGTGTTTTCGACTTTATCTGTCCTAAAAAAGAGTTTATTAATTTTAGTAGGTGAGCAATCTAGAGCTCTCAGATTGTACATTCTGGATTTTCTTCAATAGTTTGTGTATTTGTTTAATATTGCTTATTACTCGTTGCTGGTTGAGTCATTAAATACATACGTATGGGATTTTTCTAAATGCTTTGTCAGGTACTTTGCTACGCAGCAGCTCTACATATTGAGGAAGACGCAGTTCTTCGCTGTCCAGGTACTCAGTTAAGTACAGGAGACTTTTTCCACCACGTGGTAGTTCTGAAACGTTTTTAGTTTGTGAGTCCCATTGAGTAGTGGCTCTTAAAATTCTTTAGACTTTGGTTTCCTTAAGTGGAAAAAGACGTCAGTGATAGCAATAAAGTTTCACTGTAAGCACATTCTGGGGAATTACGAATATGTAATTAAGTACTCACCATAAGGTTGAGTTTCTTTTAACATCCTAATAATGGACCAGCCCTGCATGTCCATTTTTGCTATGGAAGACCACGCACTTTACCCAGCAGTTACGCAATTCTGAGCAGTTGGCAGAGGACGTAAACCTCCTCAGACCAAGACTGTAAATACCCATCAAGTATTTCCTCCCTGGGACAGAGTTTAATTCGCCTCAGTATTCTTCCACTGTATGAAACGCAGGCCTTCATAAATTACATGTGCTAGGTAAATGTGTATTGAGTTGAAAACAAACAAGAAATCAGTAGTTATTCTTTAGAGAAGCAACTCTCTGGGATTTAGTTTTTCCCAAGTAAGCAACATTTGGGTCCTTTTTTTGTTTTGGGAGATATAACTAATTTACATTTAATCAGGAAAAAAAAAGAATATTTTGAACTGTCTGACCCCAGTAAAGTCATTCACATAACTTTCCCTTTTCTCTGCCTTTCCATTCCCTTTTATTCCATTCTAACACATAGGTTGACAGACTAATTTACCATGAGTCACTTAGGATTGCAAAGCAATCAGTGGCAGAATTAATTGAAGTCTAGAGCCAATATATTTTGGAAATTCTTGAGGTTTGTGAAGGGAACAAAGACTTTTTAATGTCTGCGGGATGAGGCTGTGTTTTTTTCCCCTTCAAATTGTCTTGAAAAGAGACAATTCTGGAATGGCTGTGGAGGTTCATTTCTGTCTTTTCCCTTTGCGGGGGTTCAGTGCCAAGCTGGATCAGCTGGAAAGTGTCAGGCCTTTGGCTATAAGGGCATTCTTTGAAGGCTGCTTTCAGAGCAGCAGCCTGTGGATCTTGGCCCTCCACATGCACAGCTCTCCAGCGTTGTCCCTGGGCCTGGAGATTCCTCGATGTGTTTCTTGTCACCCAGAGAAACTTGGGGAGCGCAGGGGCTTCTGCGCTTGCCTTCCGGGAGTGCCCCCCTCAGGCCCAGCCGGCTGCCTCAGGCTGCCCAGCTGCAGGAACTTCTTTCATGGTACCCGGGTCACCTCAGCCCAGCCTGTGCGGTAGCGTATTTGGGGGACTGAACGTACTTTTACTTCTCCGCTGTCAGTTTTTTTCTCTCAACTGACCTCATGGTGTATTTGTATTGTGGGGTGGTAGTGTGTGTGTTTGTGATCCCTTCATGGGACAGGAATCCTTTGAAGCCTTTTAGCGGAAAAGTACTGCTTTTGAATAAGAGATGTTAAGTATAAAAGGCTGGAGCCAAATAGAAGGACACTTAGAATGCTGCTTCTCAAGTGACAGGGCAAGTATAAAACATTAGTTGGATTATATTTTTATATGAGTATTTCTACAAAATACATATTATTACTTAAGGTATAAAGAAGGCTACTTGCTTGCCTTCAAGTAAATAACTTATGTCCTAAGTGTTGTTTCTTGTACCATCCTTGCAACCTATTCCTTCCTTTTCCTCCTGGTCAGGTAGTGTGGACGTTACAAAAACCCCCACATCAGGTGGGAAGACTGAGTTGGGAGTCAAGGTTTAATGGGTCTTTGAGTTGAAGTGGGTTGGCTTGAGTCCTGCTTTTTCTAAAGCTGTTCTTCACAGTTTCCCTCTCAGGTGTTAGCCAGCCTAAAATCTATACTGGGAAGCCGATGATGTTTTAATATACTATTAAATCCTTCTTTTCTATAACTCTAGATTAGCTAAAGTTTTCCTGTGACTATTTAGGGTGTAAATAACCCCTTGCAGGACAGTCAGTCCTTTCCAAAAGGCCCTTGCTGTTTATTCCTGTTCTAAAGGTCCACACTTAAAAAATATCCCTGGGTTCAAATACTTCATTGCATTTATTTCTACTTTGAGTTTATACAATTAACACATGAAAAATACTGTCATGTAGTGTTTGTCCAATAGTTGTGTTTTGGCCACCCTGCCAGTAATAACTCTTCTTGCCTTAGGATCCTGACTAGTGGTGGCGCATGGGGTTAGATAGGTGGGTTCAAATACTGCAAAAGAGTGGGATTTATGTTAGCCATGGAGCAAATGTCTCCAAGGAAGTATTGGATAGGACCAGATATCAAGGACCTTTTGGCGTGGAACAAATGCCTCCATGGACGTTTAGTACAGGACCAAATATTTGCTGGTTCAACCTGAAGTTTTGTTGAATGCCACCTACTGATTCTATAACGTAGCTTTCTATGCCTACCATATGTGGTATTTATTCACTTAAAACTTCATTGTAGCTGTGGCTTATAAACATTTCAGATCTTAAGAATAGGCAACTAGGTGTGCTTTGATTTTTTTCCAAGAATATGAATGTCACTTAGCAGTCTCTGCATAAGCCTGAAGCTATTAAGGCATTTCTGTAGTGAAATCATTTCTAACAGTTAGGAGATGGAATCGTGCCATCCAGAAAGCAAGTCCTTGGGAAACAGCTTTATGAGCCGGGTCGCAAATAGCGATTGCTGTCCCTTGAACTAATGGATTCATAAGAAATTGTTTTAAAGTTATAGTCTCTGTCCAAACTTAAAGAATCAGATTTGTCTATATTTATCAAGGGAATTATAAAAAAATAAAACTTGTGTTTAAGATATTTTTAGAGAAGTGACAAGTAAGATGATATGTTTCTTATTCTATGTAAGAAGGCCAGTAGGAGTTGTGTTGTAATATATTTCTCCTGTCCTTTGCACTAGTTAGAAGAGAGATGTATGCATTTTTATAAAAAATTAGTGATAAATTTCTCACTATTTTTTAAAATTATCTTTTTGCTTTCCAAATAAAAAAGCTTACATTTTCAATGCTACTAGTGTTGTTTTACAATGCATTGGCTTTTTAATTCTTTTCACTATTGATAGTTTTTAGATTAATCATATTTTCAGAATGTAGGTGCTCTGGTAGATAAGCTGTTTTATGTCTTATTGAAAATTAATAAAAGCTTGAATTGTATAGAAGCATCAAGTGAAAACATTTACTATAAAAAGTCAAGAATGTAATAAAACAGGCACTTTCCATATGGTTGGTTTGAAATGGTCCAAGCTATTTGGAAAAAGATTTAGTAATTTACGTCAAGAGTTTTAATAATCATACTCTTGGCTCCAATAATTCTATCTCTGACAAATCATTTTTAGGAAATCTGAAGTACAAAAATTTACATATAAATATATCATGACATCATTTATTATGTTGAACAAATTAGATGCTGCCCAAATGTCCTATGAGTTAAACAAATTGTGCTACATCTATAAAGGAATGTTATATAGCCACTGAAATTATACTTATGAAGAATATTTATAACATGGAAAACTTAATGCACTTCAGGTTTTAAAAGTGAGCAGAATATAAAAATTAATATCTAAAAATTTGTTAATATAAAAAAACTTGGAAAAATATACAGTGACACTTGTCATGGCCTTTTTTTCTATAATGTACTTATATGTATTATCAGAAACTATTTTTATAAATTCAGGTATTTTGAGAAGAGTTGGAAAACTAGAGGCTTCCTTTTAGCATTCATAAAATACTTGCAGAAATAAAATGTGCTAAAAGCAGTTCCTTTACATGAAAGTTAAAGGCTCTATAACATCATTGTTTTCTGAGAAGTAAGCAACTTGAAGTTCAAATCTGCTTTACTGTTTTTTGAATTAAAAAAACTTGTGTTTTAATTTTATAAAAATGTTAGCCGCTGTGTAGAAACAGCAGAAGTGATTGCCTATTGGAGCTTGCTTTTAAGTTTTATGTCGTAAGATTCCAAATGACAGACAGCATTTTATTTTTCAAAAGTTATCACTTGTCATTTTTTTGTCATATCTTAAATGAGCAATAAAACCAAAAATTCATAATTTACCTTTAGTTAGTGCCACCACAATGATTTGAATTTTAGCAAGGGCAAGTTTGTTACACTTGTTTTAAATTTATAAAAAGGAAATCTGGAAAAAGCTAATGTATTTATAATGAAAATTTTATGGTATGCAAAAGATGACTTAAATAGTTTTATTCCTCATACATGGAAGAAATTACCTTTTTATAACAATTATTAGTGCTTTCGATTTTAAATATTACTAATTTTTTGAGCCATTATTTACATGATAAAGGAGGCCTTTATGTTTCTTCTATTTTACAGATATTTGAGATATTTGGACCTGTTGCACATCCATTTTATGTGTTACGGTTTAATTCTTCAAAGCACATTGAGAGTAAAGGTATTAAAATAAAGGATACGATGTATTTTGCACCATCAATGAAAGATTTCACTCAGTATGTATTCACAGAAAAACAGTAAGTACTTTTTTTCCCCCTCACTATCCAGTAAGTAAGTGGTAGTTGTTTGCTTATCTAATCTTTATATTTTATGAATAATTCTCAGCAATGGAAGTTTTAAATGGTAGCTGTCTTCCTAAGAGTTCATCTGTCTTCCTACTAATACCTCTGGAAGCTACAATTTGTTACCTGATTTTACAGCCTGAGATCATTTATATATTTTTCCAAAAATGATTTAATCAACTAGTAGGAATATATTTGGGCCATATAAACTTTCTGAATTAATTCATTGCATTTTCCATTATATGCTTTCTTTTATATACATGCTACTTCATATTAATATTACCATTTTAAAAATTCTTTACCATTTTAAATAAAATTTTCATTGGAGTAAATTCATAGGTTTTACTAAAGAAAATAAGGAAATTTCTGGTTGCTTATAAATTGTAAAGTTACAGAAGAGACAGTTAAAATGTGTCCCTGGAAAGTTGTGTATCAACCAGTGAGAGACAGGGTTGACTTAACTAATAAGTCATTGCTCTTCATTTTGTCTGAAAATATGCTAAAAGATGCCTGTGGCATGTGGGTAGTAATATTTATGTTCCCACTGGTTAATTGTGTATTTTCCTTGTGTTAATTGTGCTGCCAAGTATTAGCTGTAAAGCTGTTTGTATCAGTCAAACTTATAATTATGTAATTTAATTTTTATGTAGAAAATGGCATACAAGGGCCCCCCCCCCCAAAAAAAAAATAGACTTATCTTCTGGAGGGCGGGCCTCTTGTAGTACAGGCTTCCCCCGCTAGGTCAGTGTTCTAGGAATTCGTGTGTATCAGTGTACCAGGTAGGGGTGTGAGAGGCTGCATTTGGCTTCAGCACATTTTTTGAAAGACTTTTTCAACATTTGCCCATTTCATGGGTGATTACTGAGTACACCTGCCCACACCCTGTTGCGTGTTCAGATTTTTTGACCAAAAACATGCCCACCCTTCCTATTCACTGGATCTTGCCCCCAGGGACTTTTTTTGTTTGTTACCCTGGATGAAAAAAGTCCTTAAAGGAAAGTGTTTTTCTGATTTGAAAGAGGTGAAACAAAAAAAGGCAGAAGCACTAACAGGCATCAAAATTGACAAGTTCAAAAACTGTGTTTGAGCAGTGGAAAAAAAGTCTGGATAGGTGTATTGCATCAAATGGAGACTACTTTGAAGGTGACTGGAGTGTAAACATCTAAGAATCAATACACAATTTTTTACAAATAAATTCCGGGGGGTTTTTTTTCAGTCCTCGTATAGTTCAAGTAGAATAGCTTTTTCTATAAAATTTAGTTGAATGCTTCGGAAGATGTAATGAATATGAGCCATTAAAAATACTGTCAAATTAGGAGTGGAAGAAAAGATAACAAAATAATGGGAGCGGGAAGGGGGATCAATCCAAAAAGACTTTGCACTGAGTTTGACACACAAGTCTCTTTCAGGTCTAGCTCGTAGGTGAAAAATGAGGGATGTGGTTTTTGGAGGAAATATTGTACATAGGAGCTTCAAGCAGTGAGTGGTATTAATGCTGTGTTGAAAGTACGAGGCATAAGAATGTCTCTATACCACTCACATATTAAATCAGATCTTGAATTTCATTTAATATTTCAAATATGAAAATTTTGTGCCTGATAATTTATTCAACTCATGTTTAAGAATGCACATAATTATCTGAAGGGGCATTTTATTTAAGTTATTCTTCAGGCTGTGTGAGGTTAATTTTTCTAAATGACTGCTGACAAGAAAAGTGAATTCAATAGGCAGTAAAGTTATAAAGATTTTACTTTGTTTTAAAATCATGCCTTAGATAACTAGCATTTCATTCTGCTAGGAATATTAGGACGTTGCTGTGGATGCCATCCATTTGGCTTTTGCCAAATAAAGTACTTTAACTTAAAACAGATAAACTGAAAAGGTTTTCTGCAATGTTTATTAAGTAGATTTTAAATGCTAGGAGCAGTCTTTGTTTTTGATTCGCAAGAACCGGAATTTTGTCATGGAAAGAAATGACAAAGCGGACAGAACTGGGAAGCGGGGCACACCCTGCAGGGGCCCCCTGCCCGAGGCCATGCTGTTTAGGCCGCGTTTCCGTGTCTGTCTTGGGAGCTCAGAGGAGGGCTTTGCCTTTGAGTTGGAGAGGTCCAGCTCTTCTCCAGCTTACCTGCCTCTGGTGAGGCTATTTTAATCTTAGCTGCCTGTGAGTTTAATTTCTGGGAAAAGTGTTCTTTTAAATGTTGCTTGATCTTTAGCAGATTGTGATTTTCAGTACTAAGTGGACTATTCGGGGCACTTTTCTCATGTATGTCTTTAAAGTCCAGGCTCAGGGCACCGCAGGCCATGAGATGGCACATCGGGGAAAAAGGAGTACTGCAGCTATGTTAAATATGTGGGTGTAAGAAGATAACTAATGAGTAAAGGCTTTTTTTAAAGGGATGGAAAAGTCATTGCTAATGCTTCAGATTCAGTCAAAATTCTAAATCAAAAGTTTAGAGCAAACTTGATGATTTCCATTGTTGTGGCAGCCTCTGACATCTATCAATTAATTCTTATGGATTAGCGATTTAAAGAATTCCTGAGAATCCCATATTTTTGAGATCTAGTTTAAAGCAGTGATGACTAATACTTTGTAAGACTTTAATATAATTGAATAACAAAGCATTGTCAAGCAATGAAATCAAAAAGATTAATAAGATTTAAAATGAGCTTTCATAAATTATTATTATACTCATAACAGATATATGTCCTTTTGTTGGTCATAGATTATAAAACTGTGCAACTAAAAGTAATTAATGCTTGTGATGCACTGTCCTTCAGAATCTTCAGAACTCTTCCTCCTCTGTAAAGTAGATAAGTCTTTTACCCTCTGCGTTGAGAATCACCTGTTGAACCTTGGTTCCTCATAGAGTATTCCTCTACACATTTAAAATGTGTATATTCCTCAGGTATATGAGGAAAAAGAATTTCATATTGTTATCTCTACCATTAAACCTATAAAATCTTAGACAAGGAATTGCCTTATATTTATTTTTGTGTCCTTAGCACATGGAAGAGTGTTTGACCTATAGTTTCTGTGGAATAAGCATTGATTGAGGCAAGCTTTATGAGCTGAGCGCAGGTATCCTGAAAGTATCGAAGTCATAGCATTTGGAGAGGCTTATGAACTGTAAAGTCCCTTTCCTCTGCACACCGCAGCCTTGGCCACTTATTGACACCCCAGTTCTAAAATGTTCTAACGTTTTGTTTTTCTTATGAGCCCCCACATCTTCTGAAACAAGGTAAAGGATACAAAACTGGTTCTTTATTTTTTTGCTCATATTTTCACGTATATTGCAAAATTAAGAGTTGAGCTTATGTCTTTTACTTTAGAATACGCCCTCAACAACCTTAACAAGTACTGCTTTGACTTTTTGTTTTCTCTTCCTAGGGAAAAGGGATCAGATGCATCATGGGAGAATGATCAGGAACCACCACCAGAGGTAAGGATGAGTCCTTTTACACAGTATTTTAGAAAGTAAGGCAGGACTTAATCTTTTAAAGTCATCATTCTTGACCTTAAGGAGATCCGTGCTGCTCCCCATATGCCCTCTGTCAGCCTGGGCGCGCTCTCCTTTCCCGCATGACTGTTGTGTTCCTTTCAGTAAGAATTTTTGCTTGATCATTTAAAGAAATATTTTTAATCACATTTGAATAAGTATCAGATTATCATTGTCCTTGTAATTTCCTATTTTTAGATCAATATTTTGACACCTGATAAAGGCAGAACTGTCATTTTAAAAAATGTTATTCTTCAGTTTAGTGATTTTACTATGTGAGATATGAAGATGCTTGTTAATGGTGCTTTTAATAAGTTGCCTTTCTTTGGGAGGTACAAAATTATTAGAATCTAATAATGTTAATGTTAACTGTTTATAAAATTGGTTGGATTAGGCTAATTTTAAAGTTAAATCTGAGCATACTTGTGGAGCTTGTTTTCCTCTAAGTAGTTGGCTGTCCATTATTTCCATAATATAGAAAACTCTGAAATTCAAAAGTTTATTTTATTATGATGACATTTTGTAGTTTAGAATTATGGCCTAGTGTTAAATATAGATTAGAATTTGGAATATGTGGGGTTTAAACTTTTTTAAAACAGTTATACGGTGAAAATAGGAAATGTTGGGTTTGCATTAAGAAGCTAAAATTTACTTATAGGGAATGCATCTCATTCATCTTCATAATTCATTTCTAACATATGAATGCTTAATCTGTAGTTCAGTAACTATGTTTAATGAATGCATATTTAAGCTAATTGTGTGCAAGGAAAATGTGAAATGTCCTATGATTTTAGGAGGTGATAGCAAAATACTGCTGAAATTGTCTCTCTAAAGTAGCCTATTGCCAATTAAAATCCTTTAATACCTCCCTCCTGCTCTTAGGGCAATACCCAATTATTTTAAAGAGCCCAGTAATGTTCTTTATTCTCTAATTTCATTGTCTCTGATTTTTTTTCTTTAAGAAGCTTTCACTTTGTGTTACAGAACCATTCTCATTTCTCAAAGATACCGAGCTGCACATATTCTCACTCCTTGCAAATGTCCTCTCCCATATTTTCACTGTTAACTCATTTCTAGAGATTTATCTTGGGTCACCCATACCAGGGAATCTTCCTTGTCCTTCTTCTTTTTCATCAGCCCCATTCTGTCATTAAATCATACACTTGTTCATTAGTTTATATATCTACTTTTTTATTTGACTGAACAGTTTCAGAGAAAGAAGTGTTTTTCACCTGACCTGAGTACTTTCTGCTGCCTGGTAGATACCAGATTTCACATGAGCTTAAAAATCTTAGCACTATAAGATCAGTAATAAAAAATCGTGAAGCAACCTTGTAGCTTGACCTGCACCGAGGACAGAAAAATGCCACCCAAGCGTATGGCTAAGAGTTCACCCCCAGAAGATGCCCTCCCCAAAACCAAGAAGGTTAAGATCTCACACAGGTCCCACCGCACAGAGCCGGGCTTGGTGCTGACGCTGGGCCAGGGCGATGTGGGCCAGCTGGGGCTGGGTGAGAATGTGATGGAGAGGAAGAAGCCCGCCCTAGTACCCATTCCGGAAGACACTGTGCAGGCCGAGGCGGGGGGCATGCACACCGTGTGTCTAAGCAAAAGTGGCCAGGTCTATTCCTTCGGCTGCAATGATGAGGGTGCCCTGGGAAGGGACACATCAGTGGAAGGCTCAGAGATGGTTCCTGGGAAAGTGGAATTGCAAGAGAAGGTGGTACAAGTGTCAGCAGGAGACAGTCACACAGCGGCCCTCACTGAGGATGGCCGTGTCTTCCTCTGGGGCTCCTTCCGGGACAATAACGGTGTGATTGGGCTCCTGGAGCCCATGAAGAAGAGCATGGTTCCCGTGCAAGTGCAGCTGAGCGCGCCTGTGGTGAAGGTGGCCTCAGGAAATGACCACTTGGTGATGCTCACAACTGATGGCGACCTCTACACTTTGGGCTGCGGGGAGCAGGGCCAGCTGGGCCGTGTGCCCGAATTATTTGCCAATCGTGGTGGCCGGCAGGGCCTTGAACGACTCCTGGTCCCCAAGTGTGTGATGCTGAAGTGCAGGGGAAGCCGGGGCCGTGTGAGATTCCAGGATGCCTTCTGCGGCGCCTCCTTCACTTTTGCCATCTCCCTCGAGGACCACGTATATGGCTTTGGCCTTTCAAACTACCATCAGCTTGGAACCCCAGGCACAGAATCCTGCTTCGTACCCCAGAACCTGACCTCCTTCAAGAACTCTACCAAGTCCTGGGTGGGCTTCTCCGGTGGCCAGCACCATACAGTCTGCATGGATTCAGAAGGAAAAGCATACAGCCTGGGCCGGGCTGCGTATGGGCGGCTGGGCCTCGGGGAGGGCGCTGAGGAGAAGAGTGTACCCACCCTCATCCCCAGGCTGCCTGCCGTCTCCTCGGTGGCTTGCGGGGCATGCCGTGGCCAAGGATGGTCATGTTTTTGCCTGGGGCATGGGCACAAACTACCAGCTGGGCACAGGGCAGGAGGAGGATGCCTGGAGCCCCGTGGAGATGACAGGCAAACAGCTGGAGAACCGCATGGTTTTATCTGTGTCCAGTGGGGGCCAGCACACAGTCTTACTAGTCAAGGACAAAGGACAGAGCTGATGAAGCCTCGGAGGGCCCGGCTCCCAGCCCCTACACCCTCCCTCCTGGAACACAGAAGCTGTGATGACTATAGACTCCAGCAGGCCTCCCCCAGCCCCAAGTACTTGTCATCTCCTGCCTTTTTTCCATCTACAGAACAGAATCATCTTTTTCTTCCTCCTTTCTGGAATTATCCTGTAACCTACAGGATGAAGGGAGAGGATGGAAAGGGGAGCGGGTTTTCTCAGAATGTTGCTCACCTGAGAACTATGTGATTAGACTGTTGCCCCTCATTCCTACCTTCCATGGTCCTGGCTGACCCTGGTTTTGTCTGCCAAAAGCCAAAACTTCCTTTCACGGGGGGTTGGTTCCCCAACTCTTGAGAAGTTGGGGCTCCATCAAGCCCTACTCTTAGTCTTGTGCCACTCTTCCTGTCCTCGATGATCCACGTGCAGACAAATGGTACAGTTGCCAGACCCAGCTGTCATGGACCTGCGCTTAGGGGAAACTGGAGAATGGGCAGGGCTACCAGCCATGGGCAAACCCAAGCCAAATATTTGGCTCTGAACAGGTGTCCCTGGGACAGACAAAAAAAAACAGTGATCCTCCACTTAATTAAAAAAGCCAATCAGCCTTTCTCCCAGAAGCACAAAGCATTCTGCCCTGCACTGCCGATCCAGCCTGCCGCACCTATAGCCAAGGGCCCAAAATCGGGAAAGGAAGCTATACCTGCAGAGCAGGACATGGGGCGAGAGGGGAGGGAGGGTTTTATAAACAAACATAGCAATATCAAGAGTGAAGGGAGGGCAGGGAAGAGGTTTGGATGGGCAGAGGCTGGTCCCCAGAAAGGGAAGCAGCAGCTTGTACAGTGTCTGAGAAAATAGCAAGCAGTTTAATTTTTTTTTAATGTAAAGTATTTTAGAAGGGAGAGTGAAATCTTTTAACATTTTGAATAAATTTAGAGTTTTATAAAAGAGGCCACTTGTTTTCTACACACTCCCTGCTTTTTTAAGGGAGCATCTGTGGTGTTGGGAAGGGCAGGATAAACCCACACCTGTGAACTTGGTCAAGACTAGGACTTAAGGTGATGTCCAGATGTCCTGATATGTGCCTGTCAACTGTTGATGTGACTGTTCCTTGCAAATCCAAAAAAATTGATTTTTGCTTAGGTTTTTGTTTCAGGAATCAGTGTATTTTTTAAAAAGATTATGCTGCATAATGTGAGAGACAAGGAATGGTTCTTTCAGCATCTGAGTCCCAAACCAGAACAATACACCTCTAGAAATACTTAAACTGAGCTTGCTGTATCATTTCAACAGCTGATGTAACTGATTAAACATCATTGACTACACAGTAACTCTTAAGACAACTTATGCATATTAATGTAGATTTTTACCAGCATTTGAGCAAACAAAACATCTGTTCAGTATAGTGGTCACTAGCTTTATGTGGCCATTTGCATTTAAGTCAGTTAAAATTTGTAAAAATTTTAACTTCCTTTATTGCACTAGCCACATTTCAAGTCCTCAGTAATTACATGTGGCTAGTGTGATGGCACTGGGCTATGCAAATTTAGAAATATATAGAACATTTCTATAATTGCAGAAAGTTACAATGGACAGTGTTGATATAGAAGGTTTATATATGTATAACAGGAAAGTTTTATTAGTGCCAGGAGGATTCTTGGACGTAAGTGACTCTTGGAAAAATGAATATGATGTAAAAAAAAAAAAAAAAAATCGTGAAGCAAATAAAGATATCTGAAGGTACTAAAATTAGTTGATGTTTCTGAATTTGATTATGGATTTTGAGGTGTATGGACTCTTTCTTGGTTCATGGAAGATTTGATCTAAAATATATTTCAGCAAGACAACTGAAAATCCCATACAAAGACTTTCCTATATATTTTATTTCTTCTTTTTAAATGTGTAGACATGCATACACAATAAGCCTGCTTTTATATATTTTTATGAAACATTGTTTTGTGATATTAATAGAATAATAATGCCTGAATTCTAAGAAATCATGGATAGTCATAATATATAAAGCTTCTCAGTCTTGTTTTTTGGGTAGGCTGTAACAGTGCATCTCAATTCTTAGTTACGTTTGACTTTCCTTCTTATAATATAAAATGATTTCCTCTTGGGAGGTGGATCATGCATGTATCTGCTTATCAAAGCTCTCGCCTGGAATCTTGACTAAATAGCATCCTCAGTGATTTTCTCTACCCTTTGCCTTATTGTTTATTTAAGCCCTGACTATATCTGATGTTAATAAAAAAACTAGTACCTATATAGTGTTTAGAACAGTGTCTGTATTATAATAGGCATGTGTAAATTGTAACATTCTCCTCTTTTTATATTAGATTTGATAGTTTATGTTATTTGCATATTCCTTTCTTTAGCATTTTGGCAGCCGATGAATCTAAGCTGGAAGTCAAATGTTTAGCTTAGGGAAAAACCGTATCTTAAGGTTGTTAAAGATCAGCATTTTGAAGTTACCTATCTGAAACTTCCTAGGAATTAAAACACCAAAAAGCCTTGAGTACTTATCTGATGTGTCAGATTAATCATGTGTCAATTAAGAGTCTTTAGGAATTTGTTTAAAAAAATACTTTATTTTTCTATCATATGTAATTAAATATTATTGGAAATTACTAAGTATCCAGACGAGTATCTTTCAGTGTCAGTGTTTAAATAATGGGCTTATTCTTCTCATTTCCAAGTAGTGTATTGAATTGGTAAATCGATGTGACATAAATCTCTGTATTTTTCTCCATCAGGCCTTAGATTACAGTGATGATGAAAAGGAAAAAGAAGCTAAACACAGGAAAAAGAATCGCATTCAAGGCCGGAAAAAACTAAGATCTGAATTTAATGAATCAGGTGAGCTAATGCAACATTTAGTAATTTTTTTTTACCTTGACTTATATTTATGTACATTCATCAGTAATAACACTGAAGAAAACATCCGGGTTTTCTTTTTACCTCCTGCATCCAGCTAATGTTGGAGGTATTTTGCAGCATGGGATGTGGTGGGACAGAGACACAGAGTAAATTTTCAAGCTTAAGGATTAAAAACCGCTTCAAGGGGTAAAAGGCAAACTAAGCCTTATTAGTTATTTGTGCTCATCAGGACTTTTTGTTAAGAAACGTAGTGGCTTCCATATTTAGACTTAAATAATATGGTAGTTAGTGTCTAACTCAAGGTACTTTATTTTTTAACACCTATTTCATTTTATTATACCTTTCCTGTTTTCTTTTGTAAAACTAAACATTCTATAGATTGACATGCAGTGAGTTGTAAGAAATAATACAGAGAAATCTTATGTGCCCATTACCCAATTTCCTGCAGTAATCACATCTTGCAAAGCTATACAGTAACATATCACAACCAGGATATTGACATTGATACAGTCAAGACACAGAACATTCCCATCCTCGGAAAAGATCCCCCATGTTGCCTTTTTATACTCACACTTTCCTCTCTCCCACCTCTTCCTCTTCTCCTGGCAACAGTAATCTGTTCTCCATTTCTATAACATAATTTGTCATGTCAAGAATGCTTATATAAATGGAATCGTACAATATGTTACTGTTCAGAATTGGATTTTGTCACTGAGCATAATATTCTGGAGATTCATCTAAATTGTCGTGTGTGTCAAATTTGTTTCTTTTCATTCCAGGGTGGTTTCCATTATGTGAACATTCCACAGGTTATTTAACTATTCATGCATTGAAGAACATCTAGGTTTTTAATAGTTTTTGGTTATAGGAATAAAGTTGCTTTATACATTTGTGTACAGGCTTTTTTGGGTGCACACAAATTTTCATTTCTCTGAGATAAATGTCTGAGAGTGCAGTTGTTGGGCTATATGATGCTCGTATGTTCAGTTTCTCAAGAAACTGCCGTGCTGTTTTTCATTGTGGCTACATTCCCGTCCCCAATGTATGAATGAATGTGTTTCTCTGCTTTCTCACCAGCATTTGGTGCTGGCACTATTTTAGCTGTTCTCATCGGTGTGTACTGATGTCTGTGATTTTAACGCGCATTTGCCTGATGACATTGAACATCTTTCCATGTGCTCATTTGCTATCCATATATCCTCCTCAATGATATGTTTGTTCATTTCTTTTGCCCATTATCTAATTGGATTTCTGTTTTTTAACTTTTGAATTATGAGTGTATACATAATGTCTTCCAGTCTTTATCCTGTGTTTTCATCCTCTTGAAAGGGTCATCTGCAGAACAAGGTTTTAATTTTGACGAGCCCCAGTTTATCAGCTTTTGCTTAATGGAGTCTGAGAATTTCTTGCCTAGACCTGCATCCCAAAGAATTTTCTCCTGTTGTTTTTTCTAAAAGTTTGCGAAACTATTTTAGGCATTCTGCTTCCTTTGCCTTCCCACATAAATTTAAGAATAATCTCTATATTGAGAAAAAGTCTTGCTGGAATTTTGTTAGGAATTTTATTAAACCTGTATATATATTAGTTTGGAGAGAATTGACATGTTAACTGTATTAATTGAATTTTCAGTTCTAAAATTTCTATTTGTTTCTTCTTTGAATCTTTTTTTTTTGTGCTTAGGCTTTTTATTTTAGTGTGTTCTAATTGCTTGTTGAAGAATTTTTATGAAAACTATTTTAAAATATTTCTCACATAATTCTAACACTTTGTCATCATGGTATTGGCCTCAATTAATTTTGCATTTTTATTAAGTTTGAAATTTTCATTTTTTGGTATGAGTGGTTTTTAATAAAACCTGGACATACTGGATATTTTGTTATGAAACTCTAGATCTTATTTAAACTAATTGTTTTAGCAGCCTTGTTTTTAAAACTGCTCTGGCAGGGAAAGGAAGGGGGGTGTCACATTATTACCATTAGTACCAGGTGGGAATGAAAGTCCAGGTTTTCTTCTCAGTCTCTGTTGGCCCCTGAGGCCAGGGGCACCTCATCGCTGCTGGGCCAGGAAGGGTAGGCCTCCTGCTGTGCTTGGGCTTGTGGGAGTGCCTCGCTACTGCTCCCCTGACTACAGTGGGAGGTGGCCTCGCTACCGCTGGGTGTGACCGAAGCCCTGACTGTGTGCTAGGTGTCCTTCTGACACCAGCCAGTGCAGGAGGTGGAGGAACACGGTGTTGAGGTAGAAGTCCAGTGCCCCATGTGATCTCCAGTGTCACTGCAGGAGGCCTTGTGAGCGGCTCCATATTCAGCTTGCTCTGATGCCACCTTGGTGGGAGGTCGAGGCACCTCATTACATCCTGTCGAGGGAGAAAGTCTAGGCTCCCTATCAGCCTTTGAGAGTGCGGGTGATGATGGTATCTGGTTTCCTCTGTGCTGTCTGGCTGGAGTCTAGTGGTTATTGTCTAAAAGTTTTCTGTCTTGCTAGGCTTTCTCTTTCCTGAGTGTGTGGCCTTTTGGATTCTTTCAAATTGATCATTTTAAGCCTCATGCATGTTTAACTACCATAAGGTATATCTGGAAATTAATGAAAAGGCATTACAATTTTAAACAATATCTTTTAATGTGTTAAAATTAATTTTAATTTTGTTTTTATGCTTTTTTTAATCCTGCTTAAAGGTGAAGATTTTGCAGAAGTACATCAGAATTGGAATGCTTCAGAGCATTCAAAAGGATACTGCAACAGAGAATTCACGCGAGGATTTTCCCGGGGTAGATACCCTCGCCCGTGGCATGGCAGGCCCCCAGCTCCACAGTTTTATAACTCGGAGCATATGGTATCTCAGGAGACTTCAGGATTTCCACCTCAGAGACAAGATAATCTTATGCCACAGTATCCCTTTCCTCCTCCAGTGTTTGACATGCATCATTTTTCACTCCCTCCTCCACTACCACCACCGCCTCCGCCGCCTCCACCTGCGTTTGTAAACATGGGTTGGGCAGCGCCTCACATGGCACCTCCCATACCATACTCTGTGCCCCCGCCCCCGCCGCCCCCGCCCCCGCCTCCGCCTCCGCACCCCTCGTCTGGAGATAGTCATTCTCATTTTGGATCTTACTATTAGGTGAATACATGCATTTCCAGAGAAATGTAGACTTCATATTTTATATAGAAAAGATTTTTTTCTTTTATATGGGAAGGATTTTTTTTTTTTAAAGAAAGTAATTATGGATCTAGATTTTTAAAACATTGTCAAAAACTGAATGCTTCCTTTAGTTGTAAGTTGATATATATTTATAACATTTGTGAAATTGTACCCGTATGAAAATTTCACTTTAGATTTGTAGGAGGGAATTCCAATTATGTAATATTTAATTAAAACTGAATCCATGCTTTCCCCACCCCTGCCCAATTTAACAGTAGTACAGGTTTAATAATAGATTTGGAGCAACTTTCATCATGGATGAAATATACTGAGCATACTGATTATCTTGTGGGTATATCTGAAAATATGATGTTGAAGTCCTATTGAGAGTCTTTAAAATAAACTATTTTTTTAAACGTATACTTTGGAAATTGATTTTGATTATAATTGCAAATTACCAGTAAAATTAAATGTAAATAAAAAAAAATGAAGTGTACAGAGAAGGAAAGCCTTATATATTGGTAGAAGCTATGACTATAATTAAAGTTTATCATTATCTGTGCAGATTTTCATTATTTGGGTACTTTTCAGTAGACTTTACTATTTAGCCATTTAAAGGAACACGAAGATTATTCACGATAACATGCATTTGGCCCCACGTAGGGAGACCATATCTTCCTTACCTGTCCTGCTGATCCTCACATGCGTGGCACAGAGTAGGTGCTTCATAAATAGTTAATGAATGACCGACTTTAGGGTTTTTAATTAATGACCAGCGAGGAGTATTTTACATCCTGTAATGTAAACGTAAGGGAAATTACAGAATTTTAGAGCTAAGGGACACCCTAGAAGCAGTCTAAACTAGTCCTCGTTTAATGAATAAGGAAGAGCCTAGCTAAAGATTCCCAAGGGCTAAGTAACTTAACTAAGGTCACTCAGTGAGATGATGGAGTTGAACCTAGTTTTCTTGATTCGCAGATCAGCACTTCCTATGAAATTGGTGCTTCACAACCTCCTTGACGTTCTTAGAAAATAGTATTTGTATGTGCACATCAGGGTTGTCTGGAGCCTGTTCGTCCCCAGCCCATAGACTCTGGCTGCAGCCAGGCCCCCTTTCACCTCCCTGTGGGCGAAGGAGTCACTGCAGCTGAGAAGCCCTTGCTTTGGTGCACACATCCTTTATCATGTGTCATACTTTATTATTCTTTCTTGAAATGTTTGTAGCTTCTCTTTAGGAGCTACCTTCATAGATTGTGGCAGTCTTCTGGTTGATAGGATATTGTTAGAGTCAAATGAGATCATATTTATAAACACTAAAAAACCCAACGTTTTTCTACAAGAATGGGAAGAGTAAGATGTTACCATCCAGTGATGGTAAATCGAGGTGCTTTAAAAAAAATCTCTGAACCTCTGCATGTCCAGTACTGGTGTCTGACAGTAGATATTACAGTATCTAAAGAAACAGCTGAATGATGGTATTTGATGTCTGCTTTCAGTTAAGTTGCTTACCTTAAACACTTAGATTTGAGTTGTCTTCTTCCTTGTGCTTAATTCAGGATTTTTGAAACTTCAGGGTGCCTGGAAATCACCTAAGTCTTGCATAGGTTATTAAAAATATAATACATTCTTGGACCTTATCCCACATTCAAATCCAGTAGATCTGAGATGAGACTTAGGAAACTTTTTAACAGGTATCCCCTGGGTGATTAACTTCAGGATTTATTCTTTATGTAGATTTCAGCATAAATACACTACTGCAGCTTCTTGGCCAGTCACTTGGGAACTTGAGGCAGTGCTATTTGGAGTAGTGGTGAGGATGAAGAAGTTGATAGGGAATAAGAGAGGGAAGACCATAGCTACTTAAATTCTACCTCTCACGGATTTCAGAACTATTTTGTCAACTATATCTGTCTCTAGAGATTAGCAGGACTGCCTGTTTTCTGTTCTATCTGGAAGAGAAATGCTATGTTCATTACCCCTACCTGAACTTTACAGTGCTGCTTGTAAAATCGTGTGGCTCCAGATCTTTAAACTGCTACCTGGTGTAAAGACAAATGCAACGTTCTAGTCACAGTGTCTCACTTCAAATAGAGAACTGTTCATATGAGCCTTTTCCTATGGTAAAGCAGATTGACAGTCACATGATGGAATGTGGATAAATGCCTCTGTGTATCTGCAGTTGTAACTGTGTAAAATTATAATTGTTGACTAAATGATATACTTGCTTGAGATGACTAACACTGTATCCTCTTCCTTCTACAGAAAAGATAGTGAGGTCCACGGTAACTGGATGACTTGTTCCACTTATTAGAAATAGATATTGAAAAAACTGGATTGAGGCTATCTAATGGAAACCTGGAATAGAATGTGCAGTTTCAGAACTTACCAAATGTAACCATCTCTTCTGTGTAGTTAAATTATTAGTAGAATATTTATAAATACTAATTGGACAGAGGGCAGATGGCAGGGGACCTATGTGCAGAGGTCTCTCTTGTTTGGTGTCAAAGAGGAGTAGAGAAGTTTCCTCTTCCCACCCAGTCTGATTTGTTACGCCCCCCCCAACCTTGATTAATACAAGATGACTAGAATCTGAGTTCTGGTCTGCTATAATTTTAAGCTAACAAATAAGTGAAATTTTAAATCCCCAGGTGCTAAGGACAAGATTTCTTAAGATGACAAGCTTAATGATTTGGGGAAAGAGAATCTCAGGCTTAATGTATCATTCCTATACACACACACACACACACACACACACGTATATATGTATTATATATACACATATATGTACAATATATGCACCATGTATGTGTATCATATATATTCCATTTCAACAGTAATGTTGCCATTTGCATTCAACTTTATCAATTTACATAAATTTTAAGGTAATGAATAACTGGTTTCATTGCTTTCTAGTTATTTTACACAGTGTTCCACCAATGATTTCTTTCCTGTTGCAGAAAAGAGAGTCCATCCTTTTGAGTGACAGAACTCGGAATTTTAGCAGAGGAAGAGAAATTATTCCTTAGGTGCCTACTTGTCACCCTTTCCCAGTCAGTTTGGTTAAGGCTTGAGAATATTTTTTTACTTAGGAATTCTTCATGCTCAGGGTATTTAGAATTTTTCAAAATAGTTATCTACTTCAATAATTAAGTGCTGGGAAAATACATTAGTATGTTGTCAAATCATTTTAAAATTAGATTAACATTTTGTAGAATGAATTTGTGTGCTCACAAAATAAGCATTCATAAAATCTGTGTTCTGATATTTGCATATTTGATGCCAACAATGATAAGCTTTGAGGTATAACTATAAAAAAGGATACTTTAATAGAATGCAAACTGGAAAATTAAAAGAATTATGTATGAGAATTTATTTCCAGTTAATGTTGCAGCTACACTATTTATGATTTAATACATTTAGGGTAAAAAAACCCAAACATTCGTGTCCTTTTCTGCAGAAAATTGCCAATATTCTTTCAATATTTCTCATTGTGTGACTTAGCCGATCCTAAACTTACATAGCAGTTATGTTCCAGAAAACCAAGGAAACAATTATTACAGTGTTCCTGAAATTAAAATTGAGAAGTGTCTTCTTAATACCATCTATCAAACCACTTGTTTTGAGCTACTAGCAGCAATGAAATTACATCTCATTATTGACTCAGTTGTGTACTCTATACCGAAATTGTTATCATTGGTGGGTTAGACATGTACAATTACTTAGTGTCTCAGAAATGAGGTACAAATTTGTGTTTCAAATGGTAAGATAATGAAAATAACCAGTGAAGAAAAATACCAAAATTTTCTTTTGCATGTTCAATAAAAAAGTATGTGTATATTTTTATATATTATATTTACTTATATATGTATATACATACAGATATTTGAAGGCTAGCACAAAAATGTTATACACATTTTCTTTGGTCAGTACCTTTAATTTCCATTCCTAATGTTGGTGAAATGGGAATAAATATTACATTGGCTTATTTTGTAGTTGGTTGTATTACACCATCCCTCAAACAGAACAGATTGACCTTATGTAATAAAAGCTTTTTATTCATATTGAGGCTAGATGGGCTAAACATTGTTTCTAACAAGGCATATGACCCAAATAATAATAATAACCTACAAAAAATACAAAGGAATAAAATCTTTTAGCATAGAATCTCTATTAAAATGTGATAAATAGATGATGGTGGTCTGTAATGTTTGGATGGTAATGATGAACTTCTAAAATGCTCTCAGTCTCAATAGGCACTAGACTGCAAAATCTATTGCTGCATCACTTAAAACCTTTCATTGTGTGGTCCAGTGCCGTTCAGGAGTGCTGGGAAAACAGTTGCTCTCTCTTGGTTCCACAGCTCTTGCAAATATCTGTTAGACTAACATGGACATCATGAAGTGTCTCATCTCAGATATGATTTAGGACTGTCAGGCTTAGTTATGCCAGCTGTCTTAGGCTGATTTATTCAAAGCAAATGATTTTCTTGAACATCAGTTATTTTAATTTTATTTTTCAATCAGTTTACATTCAATATTAGTTTGTGTCTGTTTCCGGTACAGAACATAGTGATTAGACAGTCATGTGCTTTACAGAACAATCCCCCCGATATTTCAGTTACCCACCTGGTACCCTGTGTAGTTATTATGATATTATTGACTCTATTCCTTATGCTGTACTTTACATCCTGTGATTATTTTGTAACGACCAATTTGTACTTCTTAATCCTTCACCTTTTTCACGCCATTTCCCAGCACCCCTCCCATCTGGAAACCATCAGACTGTTCTGTTACCTGTGAGGCTGTTTTCTATTTTGTTTGCTCATTTATTTTGTTCTTGGTTTGATTTTTGACCAAGTATAATTATTACTATATTTATGGCAACAACAGAAATGAATGAATTCTGTTTAGCAAGATTATGGCAGAAACATACTTAAGAACAGAAGAAAATAACTGTAGGCTTTAATGTTATGGTTACATTTGAATGTTAGTTTGAACCATATGGAAGTTCCTACAAATGTCAATTTCATATGATTCAGTCTTATATATGGACTAGAGAATATATTCCTGTATTTATTTTTCTTCCTAGAACATCTCCCAGTACAGTTACTGTCCAGAACACATTTTGGGAAATACTGTCATAGCTGATAGCTGGCAGAAATTCGTGGTAGTACATATTTTTAAGGAATACCATGTCTCGCTAAGAAGGCAGTCTGTTAGCAGAGTACAGGTCCTGGAAGTACTATTGAAATATTTTGCATTAGGCTGAGAGGAAGAAGGGCTGGAGAGTCAATGTCTCCTTCTTTGGGAGAGGTATAACAATACAAATATTTCTGAACTTTGATAATGCACAAATCCTTAAAATTTTTTTTAATTATGGGCACCTGGGAACATGTACATACAATAGTTTAGAAATGAGTTAAAATCATTTGATGAAAATGTCTTTTCAATTTCTTATATAATACTTAATACCTGTTAGAATATATTGCCCTAAAGAATGTTGAATTTTAAGTAGCTACATAGGAAAAACTTCCAAATGATTGTACCCAGGAATAGAGGAAATGAATGGTCTTAGATATCTAAAAAGTATCTAGCATGTACGTTTCTGCCCAGTGGGGAATGTCTTCATAATTTAGACTATAAACTGGAGCTCCTCATTCTTACATTCAAAGACAGGGGCACTATCTTCAGCTTAACAAATTTAGTTGTGTGTCTCTACTTTTTTTGTTTAAAAAAATCATCTTTTAATTTTTTTTATTGCTGACATTATTACAGATGTCCCCCATTTTTACCCTTATTCCTCCTTACACGAAGCCCCCACCCCACCCCTTGGCCTTCACATTGTCTGCCTTCACCACATTGTTGTCTGAGCCATAGGCGTATATGTTCTTTGGCTAAACTCTTCCAGCCCTCTCCACACCTTACCCTCTGAGATTTGGCCATCTGTTCCATGTATCCATACCTCTGGTTT